AATAAATAATAGTATTTATTATGTACCAGGCAAAAAAAATGCTAAGTACTCTACATATCTTAACTTGTTTAATCTTTATAATTAGTGTTATTATCCCAATTTTACTAGTGGAGAAACTGAAGTATAAAGTATTTGAGTAACTTGCCTTGTCCTCCAGCTAGGAAATGGTGTGAAGTCGGGATTTGTACCCAGGAAGACTGAGCCTGTGCTCTCAACTACTCTACTAACTGCCTCTCTCAAACTAGTGCACACGAGGTAAGTCACTTTGGGGAAACAAAGACAATGCTCTCGTCTTAATGGAGATTAAAATTCATTTCAGGGTAATAGTCTCATGAAAAGAAAACTAAGGCTGCCACATGAATTAGGCAGACGAAAGGGCTACATAAGTCAGCATGTAGAGAGATTATTCACCACAATTGAAATGGGTAGAGGAAAAGTCTTCATAGAGCAGAAGGCACTTCAGCTAAACCTTCCTGAATGGTCAGGCATCTGATAGGCAGAGAAGATGGCAAGGTATCCTGGCCACCCTTAATGGCAGCTGTTTGCCCATATACTCCAAGTGTAAATATCTCCTTCTTACTGAAGAAACAGTCACCAAACCCAATTTGCAACCCTCACAGTACACTATAGCTTAATCAAGGTGAAGTTTAATTTCTCTCCTCCTCCTTGGTTTCAGGCTTACATCACCACAGTCCTGAGAGAAGCAGTCACCTTCATGGCTGTACATTCTGAGCCAATGACTACATCCTCTGGGAAGGACAAGGTTACAGCAGGAGACTGGTACCTTCATTGCATGCTGCGCAGATTTATCACTTCCCTGCTCTGGAGTGTGGACGATATTTGCAATAGTACTGTGGCAGAAATAAATAAAATTATACTTATAAAACGTCTTTAAAGTTTGTTGTTGTTGTTATTGTTATCGCTGTTGTTGTCGTTTTTAATGAAAGATGCCTTCACATATGATCACTTTCTTGGCTATGATCTAAACAACATATGGCATGACCTCTATGCTCCTTATTCTCAAACCTAGCAGAATTGGCTTGCATTTCATCTTCACCAAATATCTCCTGCTTGTTGGAAAATGGAACAGTTCCCTTTTAATTTGTAGATAATATCTTTCATTTGGACATCCCTACAGATAACTGATAGTGTTGATATTATAAACTTTCATGTTGCAAAAAAAGCCAGCTTTCATCATAAAATATTTCTAGTTTTTAATTCCACATTCTGCTTTAGTTCAAGATAAAAATATTTCATTTACACCCTTTAATGTCAAACCATACTAGATTACAATCAATTCTAGCTTTGTTCAGAGAAAAACATTTCCTCGATCATAAACTATACGTCTAATAATCATAGTTTCACAAACTTGATGCAAGTTTTAGATAAATATTTACTGGAAGAGCATTTCAAAAATATATCCAGTGCTCACTTTGGCAGCATATATACTAAAATTGGAACAATAGAGAGAAGATTAGCATGGCCCAAGTGAAAGAATGCCAGGCAAATCTATGTAACATCTATACTTTTGTATGATGTTGAAAGCAAAAATTATAACATATCTTATGGGGTTTCGATATAGTCAGATTAATGTTATGACATAATGGGGGAAGGTAAAGGGATTTATACAGTCATTTGGTTTCTATACTTCACTCAAAGTGATAACCTATGAACTCTAAGCAGATTGAGAAAATTTATGTTCATATAATGTAACAACTCCTAAAGGAAGAACTATAAAAGTTATACAAAGAGATATAGCAAAAAGCCAATAAATTAAATGCAATGGCAAGAAATATTCAAATAATCTAAAAGTCCTAACAGACATGAAAAAGAGAACAAACCAAAAACTACTAATACAATGGCACACCTAAATCCAACCATATCAGTACTTGCTCTAAATACAAATGGTCTAAACACATCAATTAAAAACTGGAGATTGTTGGACTGGATTTTAAAAAAAAAAACCCCAAGAGCCAACTATATGCTATTACAGAATCTCACTTCAAAAATAATGATGTAGATAAACTTAAAAGATTGGAAAAGAAATACCATGCAACGCTAATCAAAAAAATGAGTGGCTATAAGAATATCAGACAAACAGACTTCAAAACAAGAAAATTATCAGAGATAAAGAGGGATGTTACATAATGATAAGTCAACTCATCAAGAAGGTACATACACTATATGTGTATGTACTTAATAACAGAGCTTTAAAATACATAAAACAAAAGCTGACCATGAAAGGAAAAAGAGACAAATAGACAATTACAGTTGGAGACAACAATAGTCCTCTCTTAGCAATCAATAGCACAAGTAGACAAAAAAAAAAAAAAAAATCAGCAAGAATGTAGAAGACCTAAACAACTCTATCAACCAATTTGACCTAATGAAACTTTATAGAATATTCCACTCAACTGACAACAGAATACACCCTATTTTCAAGTACACTTGGAACATTCACTAAAATACTTAGTCTGGGTCATAAAACAAACATTGTATTTAAAAGAATGAAATCATATGAAGTATGTTCTCTACTCCTAATAGAATCAATCTGATCAATTAAAACAGAATTCTGGAAAACATCTAAATATTTGGGAATTAAGTAATACACTTTAAGAAATTCCTTGGCCAGAAAGGGAGTCTTTAGAAAATATTTTTAGAAAATTTCGAATATTAGAAAATATTTTTAACTAAATGAAATGAACATACAACATGTCAAAATTTGTGGCATGCAGCTAAAACAATGCCTAGAAAGAAATTTATCCTTGAAATGTTCTTTTTAGAAAAGAATAAAAGTCTCAAATCAATAATGTAAGCTTCTACCTTAAGAAAATAGAAAAAGAATACCCAGCTAAACTCAAAGTAAGAACGAATAAAATAATAAATATTTAAAATTAATAAAATTAAAAAAAGAAAACAAAGGAGAAAATCAATGAAACCAGAATTGGTTCTAGTAGATATCAATAAGATTGGTAAATTTCTTCCTAAATTTGCCAAGAGAAAGAGAGAGAAGATATATATTATTAATATCAGGTATGAAAGATGAGATGTCACTACAAACTCCACAGACATGAAAAGATAATAAAGGAATACTATGGGCAACTCTCTGTGTATAAATTAGCAATTTAGATGAAAAGGATCAAATATTGAAAGATACAAACTAACAAAATTCAGTCAAGAAGTAGATAACCTGAATAGTCCTATATCTGCTAAGGCTATTGAATTCATAGTTGAAAATTCTCCAATTAATTAATTAATTAATTCTCCATTAATGAATTCAATAAAACATTTAAGAAAGAAATAATATCAATTCTATACAATCTCTTCCAGAAAAGAGAAGAGGAGGAAATAAACGACTCGTATCCAGGATTTGTAAAGAATTTTCAGAACACAAAAATAAGAAAACGACACAATTTAAAAAATTAGGCATAAGATCTGAACACTCCACCAAAGAAGATATACCAATGGCAAATAAATGAATTAAAAGATGATAAACATCATCATTCAATAGGGAAATACAAATTAAATGTAAGATACCAGAAATACCTATTAGGATGGTCAAAATATACACACGTGACAATGTCATGTGGTAGCAAGAATAAAAAGAGTAACTGGAACAGCCATATGTTTTTGATGGGAATGCAAAATTATACAAATCTGGAAAAAAGTTTGGTAACTTCATATAAAGTCAAACATACACTTACCACATGACTTACTTACTATCTTCTGGAGATTATCTTAGAAAAATGAAAATTTAGGTTCTTACAAAAACCTGTGCATAAAAATTGTTAGCGGCATAATTCATAATTGACCCAAACTGAAAAGAATGCGAAAGTCTATCAATGGGTGAATGAATAAACTCACAGTGGTGCATCCATATAACAATATACCACTTAGCAATGAAATGAATAGGTGCAAAACATATGTAAATCTCAAAGGCACTATACTAAGTGAAAGAAGTCAGTCTCAAAAGGTTACATACTATGTGATTCCATCTATGCGACATTATAGGAATGGAGAGAAAATCGGTGGCTTCCAGGTGTTGGGTAAGAGAGGGTTTGGCTACAAGAGGAAGCACAATGCAGTTTTTTCAGATGACAAAACTATTCTGTATCCTGTTTGTAGTGATGGTTATAAACGTTTTTTAAAATGTGTTAAAACATATAGAACTGTATACCAAAAGAGTAAATTTTTGTATGTAATTTTTTTTATGATCGAGATGCTTAAAAACTTCAAAAAATGTGAAGTCACTAGGTTTTATTTCCATATCTTCTTTCCACACATTCTTTCCTTCAAATCTTTAACATCAGATCTCATCTCACTGACTTCAGAAATATAAAACAGATCTCTATTCCATGAGGCCTAGAGTTCCTAACCACGGAAAATCAATAAATTAGGACAAACATTCATTGAAATAAAAAACAAAACAAAACAAAACAAAATAAATATATTTAGAATGAGAGAGAGCCTGCGTATGTGATAAAAGGACATTTATTATGAAATAATGATGATGCTTATAGAGAGATTTTCCAGAAATGTTTATCTTACCCAGTACTAGAGAATAACTATATCATTAGTTACAAGCTCTAACTTTTATGTATTTAATGAAACTTATTTAAACCCACGCATTCTGCCCACAGTAGCAGCTATTTCAATGGATATTAGGTTGTTCCGCCCTGCATTCTCTACAAGGGATCTCTTGGACAATCCCAAGAGCTTGAGGTTCAAGCTGAGAGGACTGGTAAATTTTACTGACAGCTGCAGAAGCACCAGTTACATTGTGTCTCTGTGGAAGGATGAAGTGGGTGTGTCAAAAAGGAGGTGAGTCCTGGAGAGATCACGCCTGCATGAGGTCACAGATTGGACTGTAAGGAGGATTGGAGTGGGTTGTTAGTTCTATCTATTCCCTTATAAATTAACATGCCCTTGGGTGTGCCCAATATTATCAGTGATCTTTGACCCCACAGGATTCCATCTACTTGTGCTTAGCAAAGGGAAAGTTCTGGGAGCAGGCTGGACTAAAGCCAAGAGCCCTGCTCAACAAGTGTCACTCATCCCACTGATTCACTCATTACTCATTTCTCCAACCAGTGTACTGAGAGTGCCTATTGTGTGCCGGGCACTGCTCAGTTCTTTCTAGAACCCTCTGAGAGCATGCAGTATACATATCAACCCCTGGTGATGAGCAGTCTTTGCTCTTGCATTATTCCTTGATGAGTTGGGTCATGTCTTTCCCACAATAGTAAAAGCTCCTTCAGTACAAGAATTCACTTTTGTGTCTCTTTTGCATGGTCCACAGAACAAAACGGTCCCTTGCTATAAACTTGTTAACTGATAATATTCCCAGCACAGTGTACCTGCACAATAAATAATTGTTGATGGACTCAACTAATGAATAACTGGCACCTCTTTTGTTCAAAACCTCTTACTCCACTAAAGATCCTGCCCTTACATTACTCAAAGGCTGACATCAGTAAAATGGTCATTACAGTGTGGGGTTTTTATAAAGATTCTAGTTTTGAACTAAAACATAGGAAAGAATTACATAATAATAATGTTAAGATTTACTAAGAGCCCACCATGTGTCAGGAGCTATTAGCTCACTTCATCTTAATATTCCAGTGAGGTAGGTGCCAGTAGTCCCATTTCACAAATGAGGAAGCAAAGAGTTAAAGAGATTAAGTAACTTGTCCAAGGTCACATGGTTAATTATAAATAACACAGCTGGTGCTGACTGACCCAGGTCTCTCCATCGTTAAATCCCATCTTATTAACCACCATGTTTTACTGTGTATGTGAAGTAGGATATGGTTGGAGAGGTTAGGATGCTGATAAAAATTTAGAAATTGCTTATCAAGTTGGTGGAATCAGTAAATGACTCGTCTTGGATAAGGAATGGCTGGATTTGGGGATTCTGGAACCTTTCTTGACTCTACTTAACCTAAAAAACATTCAGAGATAAGCTGGAAAAAAAGAAATAGGAACCAAGAGGTGTCATATGCACGTACACACACACACACACACACACACACACACACACGCACTATACCCAATCCCTAGAGAAAGGGAAACCATGGGAGACAAAAGCCAGGAGAAGGGGAATCTGAGACCATATTCTGTTGCATCATCATGCACTTTGGGCAGGATTTACCACTCTGGTGATTGTCCTCACTCAATGTCAAAGTTCATATTTTAGTCACAGCAAGATCACTTCAAAATACAACTATTACACAAATACATTTTTAAAAACTTGGACAAGATCCCAAATAAATACCTGTAACAACTTTTTTTTTCAAAAAAAAACCTGTTGATCTATATTACTTTTATCCATATACCAATTTTCTTTTGGTCAACAGGCCTTTTTTGCCAATTGACCAGAGGTAGCCTTGAATAACAAAAAAGAGTAAGGTGATAAAGAGAACCAGGGTTAGAGGAGAAGCAAGATGAGAGACATTCAGGAGGGGAAGTCAGCATTTATATGGGTGGGAGCAGAATATAGTATGTTTTGAGAAAAGTGGGCAAATGCCCATG